CTCCTCCCCTACTCATCTATTTCCGCTGCCAGACACCACAGGACATGCTCATATCCTATTGTAACCTTTGACCCTGCAACTTCAGGTTACAACCCAGGGTGAGTTGGTGCAGTAGGAGGGAGGAATATTCCTGAAGCTATTCCTACAGGGGTTCGCTGACACTGATCTAACTTTATACAGATGTGATGCAAACTACATAAATGAACTCAACTAAATCTAAACCGAGTGGATCTCCAACTTACCTCCCCTTGATTGGATCACCAAACGTCACTGTGAAAGAGAAGCGATAGATGGAAAGTTGGGTAGGGAAGAGACAGTCAGTTGAACCAATCACAATTAAATTATCTTACTTTGCGAAGTTTACAAAACTCAGGGTCACGTGGATACATTGCTTAAAGCATAAGATTCATTAGCTTCGCAGGAAATCCACTGCTGGCTAACAGGGCACCCAGTCCATTGGGAGGAGGGCGGAAAACTCCAGGAGAGGTTTCTACAGGGTAAAGTTTATAGATGACTGGATGTGTCTCAGTATAATGAGAGATGTAGCAATTGGAGAATTGGGTCTTGAATATCCTGGTGTGCTCGGAGGAAATGATAAAAATAAAAAATAAGACAATTATTAACTCCATGGAAAACAAAAAGTTGTTCAGGAAAACAAAAGTCATCATAATTTACGGTATGACTCAGCTATAAATAACTTTTATCAGCTTGACAATGTAAACTCTGGAAAGTTACCTAACTGCATGACAATATAACCATACTCGGAAGATAGAGGAATGGGAGAGTGGTATGTGGTGGGGACAGTGGCCGAAAGAGAGTGAAAGCCTTATCTTTCATACCAGGAAGTACATAACTAAGGCCTAAAATGGAAAAACAACCAAGAAGCAATACAGGAAGCTATTTTGAGATAATGGAAGCAGCTTTAGGGGGTTTTTTCCTTTCTTTTTTTAAGTTTTTAAAACATTGATTTTAGAGAGAGAGGAAGGGAAAGAGAAACATTGATCAGTTGCCCCCCGAATGTACCGTGAGCGGGTATTGAACCCGAAACCTGGGTATATGCCTTGACCCAGAATCGAACCAGCACACAGGACAATGCTCAATCACCTGAGTCATACTGGCCAGGGCTTCTTTTTCTTTTCCTTCTTTTTTTGAAAACAAATTTGTACAACATTGTAACTCTTTAAATTTGCACTTATATGAGTACATCTGTGGGATTGATAAAATTTTGGAGCTGGAATCCCTAGATTACAGGATATGAGTGTTTTTTAATTTCTCATTTTTTTCAGAATTATCATGGCAAATCATAGGAAAATTTTAGAACATCAGGAACAAAGAGAGAATACTACAAACTTCCAGAAAGAAAAATCACAAAAACACATCAGAATGGCACTGGATGTGTCAATCTTTAAAATATGCATTTACAATCATATTTTTAGCCAACATTTCTAGGTATTTGTGTTGGGAGTGATGGTGGTTTAGTTAATACAGTTTGTCTTATTTCCAGAAGAGCTAAAACCTGAGTCCAATAAAGGTAAGGACCCTGTTCATGCATTTATTCATGTTCCTGTGTCTACAGCATATTAGATGCCAGAATTCCACATTGATTTTTAACCTAATAATGCTTCATTATTTTTCATGGCTGCACAGTATCCCATTATATAAACGTATTTAACCTTATTGATCAACTCATTGGCTCTTTCCACTGTATTGTGTGATTAAAATAATACTGAATGAAATTCCTCATTCATATCGATTAACGGACTTCTAAAAGGATAGCCAGAGGATAAATTCTTATAAGGGAGTTTATTGGGTCAGAAGGAATAATATAAATGGTGAGAGCCAAAGCAGGAAAGTGAGGCTCAGAGTGGACAAGACTATGGAAAAGGCCCATTTGGGTGGGCCACCTATCATACCCAGGCACCCAGGGCCAATTGATTTTGGGGGGATTTCTCAAGAAAAAGTGAGACTGGGTTTTGGCCTATTATATATTAGCTTGGTTATTTTAATTATGAAAGAATAAATTTATTTCCCTAGAAATGGGTATATAGGGGGAACGACAATGGCATGGAAGGAATATGAGTGTTCAACTTAGAGAAACCTTAGCTCAAATGCCAGCTCTGCTTCTCATCTAACTATGTGACTGAATTAATTAGCTACATATGCATATAAAATTACCTCTAAACTCAATGGCTCAAATGACATTTAGTTCACAATTCTGCAGGTCAGCAATTTAGGCCAGTTCTTCTGGTCTCCCTGCATTCCCTCAGGTGCCCACAGCTACCCACAGGTCAGCTCAGTTTTTCTGTTTCTAGGCTTCGGCAGGCTGTCTGTTAACCCCTGTACCTCTGTTCTCCTTGTGGTTTCTCATCCTCCGGTAGGCTAGCCCTAACTTGTTCTCATGGAAAAGGCAAGGTTCAAGAAGGAGGGTGGAGTGTGCAAGACCACATCTAGGGATATAGGTGTGGTACATTGTCACTTCCACCTGCATTCTGTTTTCTAAAGCAAGACCCAAGGCCAGCTCAGATTCAAAGGCTGGGAAGAAAGTAGACTCCACTCAAAGACTGGAAAAGTCACACAGCAAAGAGAGTGGGTACTAGAAGGCCATTAATTAGGGCCATAAAACTGCAATCAATCTACCACAGTGACTTTGGGCAAGTTAGCTTATCTTTCTGAGCCTCGGTTTCATTGTGTTTTAACTGAAAATAACACATATTTGAAAGGGTTTTAATAAAGAATAGAAATAATATACCTGTTACTATTACTAGTGAGCATAGCACTTACTAATTTATCTGAAAACTTTGTGCCATAAAGCCATAGCTTTCTTCTTGCCCTTGGTTCAGTGCAAGTCTGTTCCAGCCCCAGGGCCTTTGTACTCACTGTTTTCTTTATCTAGAATGCTCTTGTCCCAGAGCATCGTCAGGTGACTAGCTCTTTTCTTTTTACTCAGGGCTCAGTTCAATTCTCCCATCCTCAGATATGCCCCCCTAACCAACCGATCCATTGCTCCTACTCCTCATCTTCACCTTCACTCTCCATAATTTTTTTTAACTTTTAAAAAATATATATTTTTTTATTAATTTCAGAGAAAACAGGAGAGGGAGAGAGAGAGAGAGAAACATCAATGATGAGAGAGAATCATTGATCGGCTGCCCCACACAGGATTGAGCATGTGCCCTGACCAGAAATTGAACCGTAACCTTCTGGTTCATAGGTCTACGTTCAACCACTGAGCTACGCTGGCTGGGCCAAAAATCTGTATCCTATCAGGATCTCCCAGCATTTCTAGTAAATGCTCAAGTTTGAGAACCACTGCTTTAGATGTACATATTGAAAGAAAAAGATTAATAGCAAACATCCAATTTGAAAATTTAGAAAAGTAACATTAAAATCAATCCAAAAGTAATAGAATTAAGAAAATAATAATGTTAAGAGCATAAAATTATTTATAATCTATGTATTTTACTGTCTTTAATTCTGTGTTAGGACCCTTAGAAAGATATTATCTTTGCTTCTGGATTGTAACAATCCCAATTTACTGCCAGGTTCATTCTGACTAGGCAGTTCATCAGTGTAAGGAAGTTGGGCAAAGAAAAAAGTAATACCCAGAAGAACATTTGAGGATATCTCATTCTAGATATCTATGCAAATGTATGCATACATTTTTCTGGATAGAATCATAAGAAAGTATTAAAAATTCTTTTCTTTGGGGAGAGGTACTTGTGGTAAGAGGGGTAGTTTTTATTTAAAAATATTTCTATTGAGTTTAAATTTCTAACCTTATACATTTCTAACCTTATAAATTGCTAACTTATTTTTAAAAGTGATCACAAGGCTTATTTGGACTATGAGGTTATGGGCAATTTTTATTTCCTTTTAAAAAAATCTTACTTAATATTATAGTATTGTTAACAACGACAAAACAACAAAAATATGTCCCAAACCTAGACTGAGTCAGAACTTTTTTTTCCCTAATGTAATTCACAATCTCCTTCTGAGAATAAACTAGCATACCTGATAAAATGTGTTAGCAATTACCTGATAAATCTAAGGGAATTTAAGACTTGTTCTAAGAAACCCATTCACTTCAATTGTCAGTCAAATGCCTGTCTCTAACCAAACATAATTTTATGTTGTACCTAATCTAATGATTATCTGTTTCTGTAAAATGTCCCTATCAAGAGTAAATCTCTGAATTGGCTTGGTAGACTCCTTTTCCTTTGCAGCAAGACTTGTTATAAATTCTGATAAGTGGTCATAACTAACTTGCTTGGAAATGTTTCCTTTAAAATAGTATTTAAACATGTTGTAAAAGCTTCAAACGCCTGGGTAATGTTCACACCCGTTACTAGTCTAAAGGATGGGATTATAAATGACAGGGCCATAGAACTATAGGAATAGAATGTAATTCATTCATTCATTGGCCGCAAGGCTTTGAAAAGTACTTAGGTGTGTACCACGTGCGAGGCACTGTTCTAGAATCTGCCCATACAAAAATGAACAAATGGGATTGGGGAAATAAAACTACAGTTCTCACAATATCATGCTCTTCCGCCCCTTTCCAGGTGGGTGCTTCTTTTTTCTTTTTTCAATATATTTTTATTGATTTCAGAGAGGAAGGGAGAGGTAGAGAGAATCATTGATTGGTTGCCTCCCGCACGCCCCCAACTGGGGGAATCAAGTCGGTAACGGGCATGTGCCCTTGATCGGAATGAACCCAGAACCCTTCAGTACGCAGGCTGAGGCTCTATCCACCTGCCTCTATTCTAGGGCCAGGTGGGCGTTTCTTGCCAATATTCTCTTCCCATGATTCGCTTGTGCAGAGAAGCCCCGCCCACTCACCTGCCCTTTGCTTAATTTCCTTAGCAGACGGACTACAACTCCCACAATGCCCCTGTGCCTACCCTATAAGGGCACAATTCTCCAAGGCCTAGCGAGGGATGACTACATTTCCCAGGGAGCTTTGCTTCCGCTCTCGGGTGGTATTGCCCCTCTCCCAGTCCGGTACGCGGTGGAAGCGAGCGACCGTGCCAGGCCGGGGGTGTTCCGTGTCCTTCCCCAGCGCAGGGACGAGGCAGTGACTGGACTCGGGCGCCGAGCCCGGCAGGGAGCTACCGGAGGTCGCGATCCCTCCTGTCCCGCTCCCTTCACGCTACTCTCCGTCTCCTACGCCCGCCGCCGCCTGGACGGCTCGGGACCGACTGCCCGGGGCAGGGGTGGCGAGCTTGGCCCCCGGGCTGTAGCGAGGCCGCGGCCCTTGGGGCGGCGGCAGCGGCGTTAGCGCTGGGGAAGAGGACGAGGGAAGATGGCGTCGGAGCTGGAGCCGGAGGTGCCGGCCATCGACCAGAGTTTGCTGGAATGTTCGGCTGAGGAGACCGCGGGGGTGAGTGCCGGCCCCGGGCGGGACGTCCGGCCGTCGCAGGCCGAGCCCCGTGGGAGGACCGACTCCCGGAAATCCCGGAGCGGCCGGCTCTCCGGCCTCCCCGAGCGGGGAGCGGCCCCTTCCCTCCCCTCTTTATTCTCAAACAGCCCGAAGGCTGCGCTGTGCACCGGCCACCTCTTACGTCCCCCTCCTGCCCAGAACCAACAGCTCTTCACCATTCCTCCCCCCACCCCCCAACTCCCATGAAGCCCCCAGCATCAGCGCCTTTGCCGCGTATGCCAGGTCTTGCGAGAGCGGAGGAAAGAGCCTTCTTGGTGTTGGAGGTGTCATCGCCCCACTCTCTCCACCCGGTTCCGCTTCTTGAGCTGAGCGGGGCATTGGCTCCTCCGCCGAGAAATGCCCCCTTGCGCGAGCCCCGACTTTGTTCCCGGGACCGCCGTGCGCGCCCGCCGAGGGATGCCGACGGTACCGTGCCCCCTCCCCCTCCCCCTCCCTCTCCTCGGTGCGTTTTTACACGGGTTGGCCCGTCGACAGTGTTGATGAATGTGCGGAAAGTAGTGTTTCGACTTGTGCACTGAGTGTGAGAAAGTAGTGGTGGAGGCCGGGAGATAAAAAAAATAATAATAATTTTTCTAGGAGTTGGGGTAGTGGGGTGGAGAACAGACGTTATGTAACGTTGAGAGAGCAGCTGTCAACACACAGAAGTTAATAGCGTTGGGTTGGGCCATAGCACAGTGGGGACAGTTATGCCCCAAACGTAAACCATCCCAGCCCGGGTTTGTGCAGAAACTGTAAGGGGAATGCGCTCGTGCCGGCAGCAGGGCTGTAAGGCGATTGATTACGTCCATAGGCTCGTGGGCATCTTGCTTCAAGGACAGGGAACACCCATTAGAGCGGATTGTCCCGACTGATTATGAATGGACCAAAACATCGCGGGCCCCGCCTCTGGGGCCTTCGCTTTAGAAAGCTAACGTCAACACCCCGAGTGTTAGAAACAGCATTTTGGCAGAGCACCGTGGGGGCTGTTTGGGTGAATTGAGGAGGACACCGAAGTCAGAGTGGATGGAATACATGGCAGGAGTGGTAGAGCTGAAGAGTTTAAAGGACGACACTGTTGAATGATAAGTGTTCGCTTTTTTCATTATTTTTTTTTTTAACCCACTTGTTTGGGCAGTTTTCATTTCTGCTTAATATTACAACCACCAAGGATTTTCAGCCCCCATTGGCCTTCGTTTATCAAAGAGATTTGAAAAAGAAAAAGCAGTGTTACAGGTAAACAGCAAAATGGTCATCATGACTTTCCGTCTCCATGTCATCTTATTATCCGTATTGATAGCTAATCTGTTATTTACTCCAAAGTCGTATTTTCTTTTACTCCCACCGAACTTTGTATCTGTTGGCCCAGAATTACAGGCTATGTATGTACTCTATTTTCCCAGTCTTTCCAAGAAGATTAGAGCTTCAGTTTGTTGAGGTTCCTGGGGAAGCCAATTACAAAACTGGTGACAGAGACAAACTAAAATGAATTGATAAAGTTTTCTCAGGTTAGAAGTAAATTTTAGAGAGGGCAAACAAGTTTAGAAAGCAGCTATTGCAGCCTTCAGACCTCTGATACTACAGTTTGTTGGGATCACATCCATTTCAAATTACTTAATAAGCACTAGTGTCATCTTTCCCACGCTTTGTTTACGCACAGCTTCTCCTGTTATGAGATCACTATTTGTGATCTCCCATCTATCCTGAATAGTATGCTTCATAAATAACGCATGTAGATGCTATCTTCAATAATTTTACGTTTAGGATATTAAAGAGGCCTCCCTTCTCAGTCTTCTCCTTTACTTGGTAGAATTGGCTCCACAAGCATCACTTTCTCAACACTTTTTGAGTCTGCTATGTTGCATGCTCCACTGATCTGATTGGATGTTCCGATGGATGATCATGACTTAAAAAGTAAATATATTTTCCCCAAGTATAACATACTCATTATGGTTATTTTTTGCTCTAAAATTTGTAAGTTCCACATATAATTCAAATGCACAGTTCAATTTAATGGTGCTTACTATATTGACAGAGTTGTGCAACTCTCACCACAATCAATTTAGAGCATTTTCATCACCTCCAAACAGAAATCCTATGCCCATTAGCTGTCAGTCCCCCTTTTCACCTAAACTCCCAAACTCTAGGCAATTTCTAATCTATTTTTGGTCTCCATTGATTTTCCTATTCTGGAAATTTCATATAAATAGAATGGTACAGTATGTTTGTTGTCTTTTGTTTCTGGCTTTTTTACTTAACAGTGTTTCAAGATTTGTATTGTAGCATATATCAATACTTCATTCCTTTTTATTGCAAAATAATATTGCATTGTAAGCATATACCATACTTTACTTACCCATTTATCATTTGATGAACATTTGGGTTGTTTCCACTTTTTGGATATTGTGAATCATGCTACTATGAACATTGTGTACAATTTTTTTGTAGGAACATATGTTTTTATTTCTCTTGCGCTTTTATCCAGGAGAGGAATTCCTCTGTCACCTGGTAATTCTATGCTTAATGTTTTGGGGAACCCCCTAAGTTGTTTTCCAAAGTGGCTACATCATTTTACATTCCCACCAACAGAAAATGAGGGATGTGGACTTCTCCACATCCTGTCAGCACTTGTTACTGTCTTTTTTTATTATAGCCATCCTGTTGGGTGTGTTTTGATTTGTATTTCCCTGTGACTTATGATGTTGACCATCTTTTCCTGAGTTTTTTGGCTATTTGTATATCTTCTTTAGAAGTTTCAGTTCCTATCTTTTGTGTATTTTTAAATTAGATTTTTTTGTCTTTTATTATTGAGTTTGCATATTATTTTTATTTGTGACTGCTTTTACTTCATTTTTACAACTCATAATATGATTTGTTTAAATATTTCTTAATAATTTATAGTCCAGAAAACTCCATTTCAGGACTAGCAATTGTCGCTTTACAATTAATTTACGCGTTGGTTACCCTTGCTTGAAAGCAAAATCAAATGGGGTTAAAGGATACAGTTTTAATTGGATATCGAATAATAATTAGATAATGTAATAAGAAGCTAACCTCTAGGGAATCTTTTATTGTTGTGTTTGTAGTTGCTCTCTATCCCCAGGTTTAAATATAGCATTCAAAAAAGGAAAGCTCTTGGAAACATTGTCATAACATGTTTACTTTAGTGGAATGAGTTGACAGTTTCTTTACTTCCCTATGGAGGGCTCCTAATAAGATAGTGTTTATTACTCTGTTGTGCATAGTGGTTTGACAGCCACAAGTGTCTGAAATAAAGGCAAATTAACATGCAGCCAATTAGAAATCTCAATAGTTTTTCATGTTAAACACTTACCTAATCAGCTTATATTAGTGAGAACTAATATGAAAAGCTGTAAATTTTATTCTTTAGAGAAATACATGAGCCATTATTTTGAAAGGCAGCCAGAAAGTTTTTCTTCCTGCTCACTTTCTCTTTGCAACTGTTCCCCCCTTTTAATCTATACTGTTGCAAATCACTGATTCAGTATCTCTGGTATAGAAGTCTCATGTGAAGGTACTTTGATTTATATATTGTTAAATTAAAAACATTAAAATGCCTGTAAAGGATCGCTAATTGGCTGCATGGTTTTGAATTTGGAATATATGCCTGCCATTTTTCTTAATGTTTTTATTGATTTTAGAGAGAGAGAGAGAGAGAGATGCCCTGACCGGGAATCAAACCAGTGACCCTTTGGTGCAAGGGGCAGTGCTCAACCAACTGAGTCACACTGACCAGGGCTATGCCTGCCTTTCTTGAATCAGATTTTATATCTTTTTAATAATTTGGAATAATGTGTGATAAATAATATTTAGAATGAAATGCTTGTTCTTATTAATAATATACATTTAATATACTTTTATTGATTTTATAGGGAGGGAGAGGGAGAGAGAGAAAGAAACATCGATGTGAGAAACATCAATTAGCTGCTTCCTGCATGTGCCTACTGGAGATTGAGCCTGCAACCTAGGCATGTGCCCTGACAGGGAATCGAATCTGGGACCTCACAGTCCATAGGGTAACGCTCAACCAAATGAGCCACACCAGCCAGGGCTGCAAGTGAAGTTTTAAGAGAAATGGGAACATAAAAATAAAAACAAAAGTTGCTTTTAAAACAAAATCTTTAAATGTGTTGTAAAGTAAGATTGCCTAAATCATAATTTTCCAGGATCATGGAGGTGAATTCTTTGAATATTTTTTTCAATTACATTTGACATTCAATATTATTTCATATTAGTTTCAGGTATAAAGTGTAGTGGTTAGACAATTATATGATTTATGAAGTGACCTCCCCCCACCCTCGTTAATTCTAGTACCCACCTGGGAATCCATTAACTCTTAATGCTTAATTTTTCATTCATGAACAGTAAATTGCTTAGGATAATTTGACTCTATATTCATATTTTAAATAGGGTTTACTAGCAATGGGTGAAAAACTAGACATGTACCCTTGGATGTAACCAAAAAAAAAAGAAAAGGTTTTTAGTTCAAAGAATTAGGTTCTAGTTTGCCTTTAATTAATTTTAGAGAAAGAAAAAAACACACATTGATTTGTTGTTCCACTTATTTATGCATTCATTGGTTGCTTCGTGATGTGCCCTGACTAGAGATAAAACCTGCAACCTTGGTGTATCAGGATGATGCTTTAACCAACTGAGCTACCCCAGCCCAGGGCCTTAACTTTTTTTTTCTTGTCACTTTTATTTATTTATTTGTTTTTAATATTTTTATTGATTTTTTACAGAGAGGAAGGGAGAGGGGTAGAGAGTTAGAAACATCGATGAGAGAGAAACATCACAAGGTACATGCCCTTGACCGGAATCGAACCTGGGACCCTTCAGTCCGCAGGCCAATGCTCTATCCACTGAGCCAAACCGGTTAGGGCTCTTGTCACTTTTATAATTACTGAAGTATGTATGTAATTTTTATTTAGAGCTACTGCTCT